AAATCTTTAAAAAAATATATGTATATATATGCTTGTATAAGCATAGGGTATTTTTCAAAGGGTTAACAACGGTTATCTCTGGAGAAGAGACTTAGGAGACTGAGAGACATAGGTAAGAGGAAGAATTGCTTTTCAGTGAACACTCCTTTATTCCTTTTGAATATTTAAGTGTGTATGTCTTAACCGCTCTAAAAAATTTATTAAAAATAAAATATAAGGGGGCGATGGGGTGGCTGGCAGTTTTTTTTATCAGTACTTTGCCACCTGGGATCTAGAAATGGCTTCTACTTTAAATCCCTTAAAAATCCCTTCTGCAGTACCCAGATTCCTTGTCCTGCCCAATGAAGCACCATTAATGATAACTTTGAGTTATCCTTTGAGATGATTATTAGAAGTGGGGACTCTCTCCTTTGGCTAATGACAATACATATCTTCAAAGAAAAGGAAAGCATTATTTATGTCTTTGCGTTGAAGAAGAGTTATCACTACGCTCAAGTTCTTTGTCTTGCCTGAGGCCCAGACAACTCAGAGCCCCCAAGGGAGGTTCCTCTGTGCTGTCTAAGCTTTCAAGCATCAAAGCAAACAGGGGAAAAAGAAAGTCAGTGGGAGGTCTTTTTGGAAAACTGAGACTAGCCTTTGATCTGAGAACTGCTGTGGATTTTCTGCTTTTTTCAGGTGGCCAGTAAAGCAGAGGAGAATCTGCTGTTGGTGCTGGGGACAGACATGAGTGATCGGAGAGCAGCAGTCATCTTTGCAGATACACTCACTCTCCTTTTTGAAGGTAAGTCTCTTTTTCCACTCCAGAGAGACTGGAGACATTTCTACCTAACACCCATATCCTAGCTTTTCTTCTCTCCCTGTTAGCCTGATGCCTTCAGTTTAATCCTGTAGCTTGCTGTGTATTGATTGATACATTGGAGAATTAACTTTCTAATTCAGTATCTAATTAGCAAAAATTAGAGTCTCTCAAGTGTTTTGCTCCTCCCTAGCCTTCAAGACCCAAATGCTAAGAGTAAATTTAACCCTAAAGTAAATTATTGGGAAGAGAGTGATGCTGATTTCCAAAGATGCTCCTATTAAACTATCAGCATAAAGTAAATGCCTTCTGATTTACCAAGCACTATACATATTAAACAGACAAATTTTGCTTAGCGACTCTCAGCATTGGCAAGAACCATTTGTATTCATTTTGGGAGGTGAAATAGCCTTAAAGGGTTGAGTTAGACCCAGGTCAGTCCTGGATAGAAGAAAGTTTATTTTGTGAGAAGAATATTTGGAATCCAGCCCTCTCATTTTCTGCATTCTAGGTATTGCGCGCATTGTGGAGACCCACCAACCAATAGTGGAGACCTATTATGGGCCAGGGAGACTTTATACCCTGATAAAATACCTGCAGGTAGAATGTGACAGACAAGTGGAGAAGGTGGTGGACAAGTTCATCAAGCAGAGGGACTACCATCAGCAGGTGAGTAGGAGAAGCTGCAGGTGGGTTTGGAAACAGTGTGAGCCAGGGATACTGAATAAAATAAATTGGGGGTGGGGTAGGGAAGGGACGAAAAAAGAGGTAGATAGAAAAATAAATACCAAATGCAAACTGCCTGCATCTTGCCCGTCGCCAGCTAACTTTGGATTTGAGGTGTCCTGATGATATAATACAAGATTGAGAAAGAAGTAGAAAGGGCTTCCTGAAAGAAACACAAAACAGAAACATTAGAGCACCTCTCTATCACAGAATATGCAATAGTGCCTTCTCGTGATATAAGGAGAATTTTACTTCTTGTCTCTGATTTCTCCTTAGTTCCTTAAGTGCTCACAGTAACACTTGCTTTTTTGTGAACTTTATTTCTCCTTTCCTTTGAGCAGAGGAAGTAAGAGTATGATTTAGAAATAGGAGTAGCCCATACAACTTTATTTCTAGAACTCTAGGAGACTAGATAGTAGTTCATTGGAACACCATTAACATCACTTTAAAGTGCAATAATAAAGGAGAGCATTAGCATCTAAATCAAAAGTAAATCTTTGGTTCATCATCCTGATAGCCTACTTTTGGCTTGCCTGTTAAGCAAACTAAACTTAAACATTCTTTTATGCCAGAAGTTTGGAGGGACCAGCAAGAGGAAGGAGGGTGGGGAAGAGGGTGGGGATGAGCATCTCTCATTTCTTTGGTATATTGCAGTTCCGGCATGTCCAGAACAGCTTGATGAGAAATTCTACAACAGAAAAAAGAGAACCAAGGTAATAATCCTGTTTTCTTTAGCCCATAGGAGTTTGAATTGGTAATCATGTAACATTCAGAGACTGCTCTATTATAAGGTGGTCTGTGTTTTAGAAATATTTTATCTATGACTCAAGCTTTTACTTTTTTCTAATAAAAATATGCTTGTTAGGGGCGCCTGGGTGGCTCAGTCATTAAGCGTCTGCCTTCGGCTCAGGTCATGATCCCAGGGTCCTGGGATGGAGCCCCGCATCAGGCTCCCTGCTTGGCGGGAAGCCTACTTCTCCCTCTCCCGCTCCCCCTGCTTGTATTCCCTCTCTCACTGTCTCTCTCCCTCTGTCAAGTAAATAAATAAAAATCTTAAAAATATAT